TTTGGTTTTAGCGAGTGTGATTATATATCTTGGTGTTTTTCTTTTGGGGTCTATCCTATGTGGGGTTCATTGAGCTTTATGGATGGTTGGCTTTTTGTCTTTAATGATACTAAGGAAGTTTTCTGTCAGCAAATCTTCAGTGATCCTCACTGTATTTTCCATTTTCTCTCCCAGTTCTGAACTCTGATCACATGCAAATTTTTTTTTTTTTTATTGTATCCCACATCATTCTCATGGTTTCTTTGTTCTTTTTTCTGATTTTTCCTCAAAGTGGTATCCAAGGATTTGTCTTCAGTTTCGCTGTTCCTGTCTTCCATTGTTTCAAATTTGCTCCTAAAACCATCTATGGCACTGTCCATTTCTGTAATCTTGTTTTTATCTTTTGGATTTCTCATTACTGTTTTTGTATGATTTCTGGTTGTTTATTCATTTTGAAGTTTTGTTCCTGTGTTATTTTTCTGAATTATTCCATTGTTTTGTCTGTCTTTTCCATGATTTTGTCTGTTTCCCTTATTTTTGTCTGCAGTTTCCTTCCTCTGTTGGAGAACTTTGAATATTAGAGTTTTGAATTCCTTATCAGGTAGTGCCAGTGCCATTTCTTCTAGCAGAAGGTCATCTCATGTTTTATTTTGGTCACTTTCTGGAGCCATCCTCTCCTTTTTTTAAATGTTTTGATATTGTCTGATGTCTCCGGTCGTTCAGGAATTATTTCGTTTATTGATTGTAGATTTGTTTTGTCATGCTTTTTATTTGGTTACGTCTGGCCAGGCGGGCTGGGTGTGTTTGGGTGCTTGCTCACCTGTGGGTGTGACACTTTTCACCACCTTGTCCAGGTGAGCAGGGCTGGTCACTCAGCTATGACGTAGCAGGGTAGGTCCAGTGGAGGTAAAGGGGCAGGGATGGGTAGACTGCAGGATGAATTAGGGGTAATGGGGTGGGGTTAGGGGAGCAGTGCAAGGCAGGGTCCAGGGGACCCAGTCTGTACCTCTTGGGGGCATGGCACTTGGTGCATGGTGCAGATAGGCAGGAGGGAAAGGAGAGGATGTGATGTGTAGAGCTAAGTGGGTGGGTGAAAAAAGAGAAAGAAGAAACAAAAATGAAATGCAAAAAAGTAAAAAATGAAGTAAAAAGAATGAGGAAAAAAAAGTGGTGGTGCGGTCAGATTTGGCAAGTGGGGGTGGGGCAGAGCTAGTCAGGCCCTGTGCTGGTGGCTCTCTAGCTGCGCAGTGTGGCTTGGCCTGTCAAGAAGAGCCGTGGGTGGCGTACAGGGGGTAGGTGGGTGGAAGGAAAGGAAAGAGGGGAGAGAAGAAACCAACAATCAAACAAAAAAATGAAAACCACCAGAGAAAAAAGAAAACAAAAATATGGTAGTTGGGGAACTGGCTGTTGGGGGTGGGGCAGAATTGGGGTGGTGGTGAGCTGGTGTCTCTCTTGCCAGGTGGCATGGCACAGCCCATCAGGAAGGGGCAGAGGCAGCATAGGGCCTATGTGGGAGGGATGAGAAAGATAAAAATTAAAAATATGGCACTGAAGAAGCTGGGCTGTGGGAGTGGTGCAGACCTGGGCAGGCTGTGTGCCAGAGGCTCTCCAGCCGAGCAGTACAGCACAGCTGGCCAAGAAGCTGGGGGATGGGAGAGAGGAAAGGAAGGAAGAGAAGAAACAATAACAAAAAAACAAAACCAAAACAATAAAGCAGCACCAAGAGAGCTGGTCAGTGTTGGCAGTGCAGACCTGGGGAGGCTGCGTGCATTGACTCTCCAACCAACCTGCGCAGCATGGGCCCTTCAGAAAGGGTAGGGACAGTGAACAGGGTTGTGTGGGCAGGAGAAAGGAAAGGAAGAAAAGGAGACACAAAGAAGAAAGAGGGGGAAAAAAAGCAAATGAAGTAAAATAATAAAAGGAGAAAAAAAAAAAGTAAAGTGGTGGTGCGGTCAGATTTGGCAGTTGGGGGCAGGGCAGATCCAGTCAGGCCCTAGTGCTGGTGTCTCTCTAGCCAAAACGTATGGCTTGGCCTGTCAAGAAGGGGCATGGGTGGCGTATGGGGGTAGGTGGATAGGAGAAACGGAAGATGGGGAAGAGAGAAGAAACCAACAATCCAAATAAACCAAAACATCACAGCCTGTCAAGAAGGGGAGGGGATGGCACATGGGGTTAGGTGGGAAAGAGAAAGGGAAGAGGGGAAAGAAAGAAACCAACAATCCAAATAAACCAAAATATCACAGCCTGTCAAGAAGGGGAGGGGGTGGCACACGGGGTTAGCTGGGCGGGAGAAAGTAAGAGAGAGCGAGCTCAACAAATAAAGCCAAAAAAATAAAAATAAATGAACAAACAAAAAAATGGCACTGAAGGGGCTGGCCTGTGGGAGCAGGGTGGACTCCAGCGGCATGGAGCCGTCATCTCTCCAGCCGAGCAATTGTGGCCGGCTGGGAAGCAACAGAGGCCATGTAGAGGGAAGAAGGGTAGGGGGTGGGAAAGCGTGTATCCCTGGTCACCGGGTGCTCTGTCTCTTGTTGGGAGCTCCGTGAAGTTGCCTTCCCACACACCCTGTGTTCTTTGGTGGCTGTAGTCCAAGATGGCGAATCCGGCCATGTTAGCTGGTAGAGGACCTCTACTCTGTAGCTCTCCCCATTCTCTGTCCTCTGTCAGTTTCTTATTCCATTTGGTACTGGATCTAGTTCTTTATTCCTTCATTTGGTGCTTAGGGTTCCAAGACTGACATTTCTGTTTTGTTTTTTTGGGTCTCTGCTACAGAGGGACCACGTGGTGCTTCTGTCCATAGCGCCATGTTGGCTCCACCTCTACAATCTATTCTTATCTAGCCACTAGAGCAGGTATCCTAGGTAAAATTCTTTATATGTCAATTAAGGCTTTCTGAAATAGCTGGTGTTATGATTTGTGTCCTCCAAAAATACATGGTCAACTACCCCTGGTACCTGTGGAAGTGAACTAACTTGGGAACAGATATAATGTTAACAGGAGGTCACAGAGAAGCACAGTAGGCCCTAATCCAATATAACTGATGCCCTTATCAAAAGAGATGAGACACAAACACAAAGGGAAGATGGTGGCAGAGGTTGGAGTTACATTGTCAGGAGCCAAGTAATGTCTGTGGCTTCCAGAAGCTGGAAGAGACAAGGAAAGATCCGCCCCTGGAGCCTTCAGAGAGAACCTGGCCCTGCTGACACCCTGAATTCATACCTGTAATTTTGAGCACTGTGTAAGAATAAATTTCTGTTGTTTTAAGCCACTTGATTGGTGGTTCTTAATTACAGCAACCTTAGGAAACGGATGCACTTGGTAATGGCTTAGTTACAAGTAATTTACCAGCAATGCCTTTTTTTCTACCTAACCCCTAAGCTTGGCCCCTTCAAATAATCAGACTGGAGTTTAAAATTAATAAAATGTTATGAACGTTTTATTGTAACAATTTCCAATTTGTTCAGCTTTTATAGAGGTCTTAAGGAGATGAATTATAGTGCAGAAAAATGAATGTGACATAACAAAATATCACCACAGTAAAATGACATAAAAATCTTTTATGATTTTCTCAATTTAAAAATAACTGGCAAAGAGTTTGATGTGTTTGGTAAGCAAGTCTTTTGATGAGAGACATCTAGAAACATTAATGATCAGTGCGAGCTGATGGAGAAGGCAGTTGTGTACATGTTTGGACCCAAGACCTCATGCCCCTCGTCTGGAACCACAGGTGTTCTCCCTGACACATCCACGTGCTCCATTCTCTTGGGTGCTGTGTTTTTAGTCAATCTATCCTAAAGTGAACTCACAGTGACCCTATAGGACAGAGTAGAACTGCCCCTGGGGTTTTCAAGGCTGTAATCTTTATGGAAGCAGACTGCCATGTCTTTCTCCCACTGAGAGGCTTGTGGGTTGGAACCACTGACCTTTTTTTTTTTTTAGCCCAGCGCTTTTAACCACTGTGCCACCAGGGCTTCTTATTCAACGTGAAGTGGCCAGTGATAAAGGAGCAAAGTGAACCAGTACTGAACTTGCAAAGAATGGAAGTGGCTATGGACTAAAGAGAAAGCACGATCCTTAGACCCACTGGGAGGAACAGTGGTTCCTGATTTTACAGGGAAAGAATGAGGCAACTAAGTAAACACACAGAGTCAAAAAACGTAAGATTCTATGAAACCCCATGAGTTCTTTCATCTTCTTTCAATGGCAGCAAGCGTTAAGTACAACGGAGCACGAATAACATTTTATCGAAACGTTTTTTTCTTTTGTATTTTTTATTATATCACGGAATCCCCTTTTAAAATGAAAACGTATCAGATACTTGGTCAATGAGAAAACATTTTACAATGTTCTATTTACATGTGACTTTTCCAGAGCACACCTATCACACAAAGCAAGCACATGGGTGCTCTTACTCAAGTAACAAGAATTTGCAACTGAATGACCAAGACAACGCTCCTTAAAATCTCAAACAATCTGCTAATTTATTTAACACAAAAGGTTTATTTGGTCTTTTAAATGACAGGCATCCTTAGAAAATGTATTTCACCCATACTGTAGACTTCTACTGGAGCCCTGGTGGGCGCAGTGGCTAAACGGCTAAGAGCTCGGCTGCTAACAAAAGGTCGGCAGTTCGAATCTACCAGCCACTCCCTGGAAACCCTATGCGGCAGTTCTACTCTGTCCTATAGGGTCACTATGAGTCGGAAATGATTCCACGGCAATGGTTTTTTTTTATGGGTAGACTTCTACTAGGCTTTAGCTCTAAGCATATAGCACCAAAATCCATTTTAATAATATCAATATTAGCCATTAATATTGAATTTTTAATACATATAATTTTATGATGACAAACTGGACAAATGAGAAGTTTAGACAAGTCTGAATATAAAATTCTATAAAATGGGTAATTAAAAGCTTTTTAAAAAACCGGCAATTTAAAAATGCAAAGAGTATTGTTTTAGAAAACCAGGTAAGTTTAAATTCATTAGACTACAAATCTTAAGGTCTTAGAAAATCTTTGGTTTAATAATCGAGACTATTTCAAAAGCATACTCTATTTATTCTGTTAAAAAATTTCAGAGCAAGACAGAAATACTGAAAGTTCCTAAAAGGTAGAGGTATCAGATTTTTAAAGATCAAAGTAAACACCATTTTTCTGCTTTGTAATTACAATCCTGGGAAGATTTTCTATATTTAATTGAATGAATGTTATCTTTAAAGTTACTTAAAAATGTTTTCATCAATTACATAATACTCAACTTCTTCATATTTTGAAAAAAGATATTTCCCATAAATATGATAGAAAGTTTCAGGTAGGGTCCCACCTACCTATACTAAAAAAAAAAAGTATGGGGGGTGGTACGGGGACATACCTATCAATTTAATGAGTTACAGGACACTGTGAGCAAGGAAGTCTGGCCAAGAATGTAAGGCACAACTCTGCCTGGTGTCCTCAGACCTGCTCCATGTCTGACTCCCAGCCCTTCTGGAACTGTGTCATCTCTAAGATCAAGTACAATTCAAAAGTTGTCCATGAAAAAGAAAAAGAGCTTTGATAACTGGAAAAAAAAAAAAAAGTCAGTGGTCTATATGTGAAAGTTAACTGCACAAATTTAACCTTCGGTCCCTTTAAAACACTGGATACTGATTCAAACAAACACACACATCACGGTTGTGAAGAGGGAAGCTGTAGCTTGTTCAGAAGGTGTATTCCCAGAGAGCACAAGAAGCTGCCTTGCTCATTAGATAAACTGTCCAACCCAATTTCAGAAAGTTATAAAAAAATTACAATAAACCACTGCCCCCTACTCTAAAACCAGATTCTCTAAAAAAAATCTCTCTGTAAGTGATCCAGCCAGGCCTGAATCTCTGATGCCAGAGCTACTCAGACTCCTCTTCTCCCTGTCTTCTTCAGCTGTAAGTGCCTCGGCCATCTCCTGCTTCAAAGGTCGCCCTGAGGTGGGGCCTGGGTACAAGCCCAGACCCTCCATGACGTGCAGGTTCGACTCTCACACCGGTCTCCCCACCACAGTGCTCTGCTGAACCATTCACTTTAATACTTTGAGCAACAGGAAAACTACTTTTGTTATGAGGAATTACTTTTACACAATATGGATAAAAATATACCAGTTGAAAGGAAACATTAAAAATAAGATTTATGAAGAAGAGCAGTTTTCTTTACTGGTTGGAAACTTTGATGTAGTGATTAAATACTGTTTCTGCAATCGTGCACTACATGTAGGAAATTCTCACTACACTGTGCAACAGGAAGTAACTCACACACACCAGTTTCTCATTTACTTACAGTGACCATCAGTTTCAATGACCGTTTTGCAAGCTTCTCAGAAAATTCTCTCACGTTTATTATTATCTTTGATTTGATGTGTTTAATAACTTTCTTTTTTTACCCTAAATAACCGAGTTGGCTGTATGCCTTTTTACAGGGATGAAAACAGCTTTTCTACTCAGATTCTTTTTACTATTAGCTTTCATAAAAATTTAATAATGCCCACATTATCAAAGTGAAAAACTGCAATAAAGTTAGAGATTACCATACTTCTAAACAAAGTATGTAGCCTGGCAAAGCTAATGACTTTGTTGCTGAGACATATCAGGTAAGTACAGTGACCCGGACTGCAATGAAGACTGTTTTCTCTCTCTGGAGGCCTGCTTTTGCTCTTAAACATGACCACATTTAAGTCATCTGTTTTAAAATCCAAGCAGCCCTCTGGCACAGTGGTTAAGCGCTTGGCTGCAAACCGCAAGGTTGATGGCTCAAACCTACCAGCCGCTCTGCAGGAGAAAGTTGTGGCAGTCTGCTTCTGTAAAGATTACAGTCTTGGAAACCCTATGGGATGGTTCTACTCTGTTCTATAGGGTCACTATGAGTCGGAATCAACTCAATGGCAATGGTTTTTTTTTTTCTCTAAATCCTGGGATTTTGTTCTCCTGATACAAGGAAAAGAACATCCTTGCCAAGTTCGTGTATCTTAAAAAATGGAAAAATCTCCCAGTCATAGATAGAAGAAAAGCTTTTAGGTACCTCATACCTAAAAGGAGAAACAGCAGTTCTGATATCAGCAACGTCCTTTTTTGATTTAAAAAAGATTGGTCCTCAAAATGTTCAAATTCTTCTACATAAATGACTTTTGAAACTTTCTTACAATTGCATATTTTTACCCAAGATTCATCATAAGCTATTCAGTTTAGCTAAATTAAAAGTGATTTTAGCAGAAAACTGAAATAATTCTTCAAAATACAAAAGATCACCTGCTATTGATTTTACTATTTGAAACTGGTAACAACTTAAAACTAGAATAAAGATACAGTTTAAAAAAAAAAAAAAAAAAAAAGTTTCCAGTCTTTTCCCTTCCACCCAGGAAAATTTTACATCTGGTATCACTAACATGAGCCCTTGTGATCTACTAAAGTCTTCCAAAGACTATATCCTGGCCGATTTACTGGTGGTCTCCTTCAACTCGTCTCTTGCGAACTATGGAGAAAAATATAAGAAAATTGTTAGAAATCCCTATTAGTTTTCATAATTGTTAACTTGCTCTTAACAACTAGGTTTCTGTATAATCTATTTATAACTGTATAAAAATGAAATTTGCAGGCCATATGACCATTAAAATAAGAAATAAAAAAAATCCACATCATTCATCACCGTAATTTACCTGTTGAGAACTGAGGGGCTTCAAAATGAGAACTACACATCATAAGATCACGGACTGACACCTGTGCTTATACAAGAGCAACATCTGAAATCTAAAAACTAGACTGGTCAGTAATGATCTTTTAGTCATTGTGCCTTTCTAATTTTCTCGTTAAAAAAAGATTAATAAGTTACTATGTTAAATTTTAAAAAGACCTAGGTATTTGGGATTAGAAGTATTAGAAGTAACTATTCACATGCTCTTCTGATTAGACACTATAATGGACTTGCTTAGTCTATGAAAGAACATACCCAAAACAGTTTTTGTCATTTTTAAAGGTAAGTGACTTGCTACTGCTTTCCAAATTTTCCTTCTCGTCTCCTACAAAATGAACTGGTTCAGGGCTCTGACAAAACAACAAATGTAAAGTAATGAACATCTTAGACCCTGGTAATGTGGCAGGGTCATTTCTGCTACTATAAAGTGGCCAGTCAACCAGCTCAGCTGATGGAGTAAAAACAGATGCGTATGTCTGAGGACCGACCCTCACCCACCTCTTCATGGACTGGTGACCCCAAAGCACTAGGCTGTGCACCCTTGTAGCAGTGCAAGGTCTTCAGCTTCAGATCTAACTACCTGCACTCTTAAACCTATCAGCCATCAGACAGCATCTGTTGAGAACTACCAGTTCAGGGCTCCTTAGGGTTGTGGCCAACTCCCATTTAGAAAGGCAGTGTACTACAGCACAAAAAGGAGGGGTTCTGGAGTCAGTGGCAGAGTGTGCAGCATCATGGCTCTGCCACTTTTTCATAGTGTGTTCTTCAGCAAGTCAGTTAACCTGAGCCTCAATTCCTCCTCTGGAACAGGAGAACAGTGACATCTGTACTTCATGACTTCAATTAAAGACACGCTAACCTACTTACAGCAGTAGAGAACATAGTGAGCATTCAGTGAAGAAGACTAGGCATCACCATCACCTACCACAGTGGTGGTTATGACACAGTTCTGAAGCCCCAGTCAGCCATCTTTTTAAAGCTAGGAAAGCCCATTTAGTTATTACAGTTAGAGGATTTGCATTTATGGGTTATTGATGTTTACCTGTTTCCCAATAACTTTCTCTGTTTAAGTTAGGTTATTGGTCTATTAATTTTCTACTCTCTTCTGCCTATGGAAGTAAGCAGGAAACCAACTGCCTCTTTGCTCAGTCAGAATGGGCTGCTTGGCAGTGAAACAAAAAGCCAACAGGTGCACCTGGCCTCTGGGGTGGCCCAGACGCTCTGCTGTCAGCTATCCTGACCATTAGTTTTGGTCTGCTGGCCTTTAACAGGACGAGCTGGCCATGCAGGTGATGCGCACTAACGCTTTTCCACTCCTTGGCCGGTGTTAACTAGGGAAAAAAAACAACCAGGAGTACTGGAGTATCAAGTTCCCATGAACATTTTTATAATTCTCTAATCAAGTTCACCCCCGACTCTAATTTTAGTCCATTTTAACAAAGTACAAGTGTAATGTGTTTATTGAAATATTGAGAAAAAGATCAAATGGAGACCTCAAACTTAATTCATGTATATAAATACCTGAAAAATACAGAAATATCTTAAAGGCAAACTTCAGATAATTCTTTAGGTTAGAAGATTTCAAAGAAACTTTTAGATTGCAGCAGGGTTTGGATGTTATTGGCAGACCATTTCACACATTAAATATATGTTATAAAAAAAATACATGTTATAAACACGATCTATAGGACAGACTGCAGCAAACAAAGAAGGTGCACAAAACTGTGGTTAGCTAGTGTAAAGGTAATACTATGAGACTCAGAGTTCAATGACATATTGCATGTATACCATACAACCTCTTTGCTGCTATAACCGTGACACTTCTCAGCTGGAGAGACGGACAGTACATAGAATTATTTCAGCAAACAGTGGAGACTAAGAATACAATGAGAGAGAGAAGGAAAGACATTATGAAAATCAGAATACTAAAGATCTGATGCAGACTCATTTGCAAGGTGAAGAAAAATTATATGCCCAAGAGATTCTGTATAAGTTTCAAGTGTTATTCTTTGATATTTCTTTTGAATCACCACATATCAGGCTGCTGAAACCTGTGAGGAGGAAAATGTGATCTTCAGCTTGTCACCTTCATCTAAAGGCAGAGATCAGAATGTAGGGCTGGAAAAAATCAAGCTGCGAGTGGATGGTGACCTGCTGTTGCTGTGAGGATAACACAGCAGAGAAAGATGGAGGCAAAGAGCCACTTCCAGTTCCTCTTTCTCACTTGACGCCCACTTGTTACCTTCCAGCAATTCCTCAGTTTACACTAGAGATAAGGGCTTATAAATTCTGCCCTATTAACAAATACTTTGGGTGCGGTCTAATTTTTTTCTAAAATCTACTCTACTAATATAAGTTCTCAACACTGATTTGCAATTAACTAATCATGATTAGTTAACTGCAAATAAGTCCTAACTAATCTCATTTTCTATCTCTGATAGAATAATGTTCTTGTTACTGTTGTTAGTTGCTGTCGAGTTGATTCCAACTCATGGTGACTCCACGTGTGCAGAGTAGAACTGCTCCATAGGATTTAAGGCTGCAACTTTAAGAAGCAGATGGCCAGGCCTGTCTTCTGAGACACCTATGGGTGGATCTGAAGTGCCAACCTTTCAGCTAGTAGTGACTATTTGCACCACCCAGAAACTCCTAAAAGAGTAATAGGTATAGCTTTTGTGAAATATCATTTTAATCATGCATTCAGTGGCCTATAATTGCTCTCAAGTGCCCCCCAAATACAATCCAAAGAAATCTAAATTTGTTACCATGTAATTCTGGGGCTTTTTACCAAGTCCCCCTCTTAGTCTGTTGCTATCACTTTTCATCCTGTTAGTTTCCTCTGGACTCATCACCATGCTATGAGAGTCAGTTCTCAAAATCTGCACGTTCCCTCTGCATATAAAGACTTGTATGCTCCCAAAGTGATCTACAGATATAATGCAATTCCAATACGAATACCAACAGCATTCTTTAACAAGAAGGAAAAACTAATCACCAACTTTATATGGAAAGGAAAGCGGCCCCAGATAAAGCATTATTGAAGAAAAAGAACAAAGTAGGAGACTTCACACTACCTGATCTTAGAACCTACTACAACACCACAGTAGTCAAAACAGCCAGATACTAGTACAATGACAGACACATAGATCAATGGAACAGAATCGAGAACCCAGACGTAAACCCATTCACCTATGGTCAGCCGATCTTTGACAAAGGACCAAAGTCCATTAAATAGGGAAAAGACAGTCCCTTTAACAAATGGTGCTCACAAAACTGGATGTCCATCTGTAAAACAATGAAAGAGGATCCATCCCTCACACCATACACAAAAACTAATTCAAAATGAACCAAAGACCTAAATATAAACCAAAAACTATAAAGATACTAGAAGAAAAATAGGGACAACACTAGGGGCCCTAATTCATGGCATAAATACAATACACACCATAACTAACAATGCACAAATGCAAGAAGATAAACTAGATAACTAGGATCTTTTAAAAATTAAACACTTACGTTCATCAAAAGACTTCACTAAAAGAATAAAAAGAGAACCTATAGACTGGGAAAAAAATTTTGGCTATGACATATCCAACAAGGGTCTAACCTCTAAATCTACAGAATACTTCAACACCTCAATAACAAAAAGATAAACAATTCAATTTAAAAATGGACAAAGGATATGAACAGACACTTCACCAAAGAAGACATTCAGGCAGCTAACAGACACTTGAGGAAATGCTCACAATCACTGGCCATTAGAGAAATACAAATCAAAACTACAATGAGATACCATCTCACCCCGACATTACTGGCACGAATCAAAAAAAAAAAAACAAAACAGAAAATAAGAAATGCTGGAGAGGCTGCAGGGAGACTGGAACTCTTATGCGCTGCTGGTGGGAGTGCAAAATGGTATAACCACTATGGAAAACGATATGGTGCTTCCTTAAAAAGCTAGAAACACCATATGGTCCAGTAATCCCACTCCTAGGAATATATCCTAGAGAAGTAAGAGCCATCACCTGAATGACATATGTACACCCATGTTAATCGTAGCATTATTCATTATCCATTAGCAAAAAGATGGAAACAACCTAACTGCCCATCAACAGATGAATGGATAAACAAATTATGGTACATACACACAATAAAATACTATGCAATGAAAAAGAACAATCCATGCAACATCTCACAACATGGATGAATCTGGAGGGCATTATGCTGAGTGAAATCAGACAATCACAAAAGGACAAACATTGTATGAGACTACTATTATAAAAACTCAAAAGGTTTACACACAGAAAAAACAATCTTTGATGGTTATGAGGGAGGGGAGGTATGGGAAGGGAAGATCACTAACTAGATAGTTGTTGTTGTTGTTAGGTGCTGTCAAGTTTGTTCTGACTCATAGCGACCCTATAGGACAGAGGAGAACTGCCCCATAGAGTTTCCAAGGAGCAGCTGGTGGATTTGAACTGCTGACCTTTTGGTTAGCAGCCAAGCTCTTAACCACTACGCCACCAGGGTTCCAACTAGATAGTATACAAATGTTAACTTAGTTGAAGGGAAAGACAACACACAATATAGGGTAAGTCAGCACTACATGACCAAGGCAAAGTCATAGAAGCTTCCTAGACACATCTGAACACCTTGAGGGACTGAGTTACTGGGGCTGTGGGTTGGGGACCATGGTCTCGGGGTGTCAAAAAACCAAAAACCAAACCCACTGCCATCGAGTCGATTCCGACTCATAGTGATCCTATAAGAGCAGAACTGCCCCATAGGATTTCCAAGGCTGTAGTCTTTATGGAAGCAGACTGCCACATCTTTCGCCACAAAGCAGCTGGTGGGTTCACCCTCCCAACCTTTTGGTTAGGTGAGCTTTCAGGATTGCACCACTAGGGCTCCTTTTAATTGGCATAATATAGTTCATAAAAAAATGTTCTACGTTCTACTTTGGTGAGTAGTGTCTAGGGTCCTAAAAGCTTGCAAGCAGCCATCTAATATACATCTATTGGTCCCACTCCGTCCAGAGCAAAGGAGAATGAAGAAAACCAAAGACACAAGGAAAATACTAGTCCAAAGGACTAATGGACCACATGAATCACAGCCTCCACCAGTCTGAGCCCAGAAGAATTAGATGGCGCCCGGCTACCACCACCTACGGCTCTGACAGGGATCATAATAGAGGATCCCAGATAGTGTGGGAGAAAAACGTAGAACAGAATTCAAATTCAAAAAAACAAAAACAGACTTACTGATCTGACAGACTGGAGGAACCCCTGAAACTACGGCCCCCAGACACCCTGCTCACTCAGAACTGAAGCCACTTCCAAAGCCCACTTCTCAAACAAAGATTAGACAGGCCTATAAAACAAACAATAACACACATGAGGAACGTGCTACTTAGGTTCAATCAAGTATTGGAGACCAAATGGGCAACTCTTGCCCAAAAGCAAAGACGAGAAGGCAGGAAGGGGCAGGAAAATTGGATGAATGGACACGGGAACCTGGGATGTAAAGGGAAACAGGGAGAGTGCTGACACATTGCAGGGATTGCAACCAATGTCACAATTTGTGTATAAATTTTTGAATGAGAAACTAACTTGTGCTACAAGCTTTCACCTAAAGCACAATTAAAAAAAACAAAAACAAAAAACCTAGTGAGATTGTAGAGTGAAAAAAATTAAAAAAGCAAAATGGGAAAAAAACTTGTTTGCTCTCAACTTCGGGCTTTTATCCATGCAATTTCCCACTCCAGGAAATGTCCTTTCTTATTCTCATTTCATGCCTGAGACCCATGTCTGAAAACCAGATGAGAATGACACAGCTTGAATGGGAGTCTATAGAGTTACTGGTACAAAGCTGTTTGCTTTCTCTCAATTGTGCTTTGTGTTAGAGCACAACTTCTTCAACAAAGCCTCCTCATCCTCTCTATTACACACTGCTGCAGAGCCCTGGTGGTGCAGTGGTTACGAGCTACAGCTGCTAACCAAAAGGCTGGCAGTTCAAATTCACCAGCCACTCCTTGGAAACCCTATGGGGCAGTTCTACTCTGTCCTATTGGGTCGCTGTGAGTTGGAATCGACTCGACACCAACGGGTTTTTTTTGGTATATGTCAGGCATGGTTTTAAGAGAGCTGAGGATTCAATAGATGGACTTTGAAAATGGAGTATTACAATGAAGTATGACTAACTTACTAAATAAAAAGGCAATTTAAAAAGTGTGACAAATGTTGTAAGAAGTAGAGGGCATATAGGGGCACAACAATGATAAACTCAGGGAGTCAAACATCCATTTGAAACTGGAGAAACGAGCCAGTGCATTACCAAGCATGAACCACCCAGAGCAGAAACAGCTGGAGTAATCTGTTAAAAGTCCCAGTGTCCAAATCCCACCCTAAACCAACTAAACCAGAATCTCCAAGGGAAGGAGGACCAATAATCTCTTTGTTTTTAAAGCTCTGCAATTATTTTTCAAGTTCAAACTTGAGAAATACTGTTCTAAAAAGCAAAATTAAACACTTGAAGGAAAAAATACTAGATAATTAGTGAACTAATACTAAAATAATTCCTATGAGTTTGCAGACTACATCTAGAATCAACAACACACCAACACGCACATATGTACACACACCAATTTTCGCTGAAGTCTTCTTTGGGAAACTGTAGTCACACAAAGGACAGAAAGGGTCTGAACCAGGATCTTCACAACAATCAGGATTAAAGGAATGAAGCTGTATTTGTTCTGCTCCAAAAACTTTTAAAGAATGCTAACTCAAATATGGCTAAAGTTTAAAAGAACTCATCACTTTGAAATGTTCCTCCCTTTGAGAAGTCTCATTTTAATTTTTGTCTAAAATGCATCTTGTAAAATACTTCAATGACAAAAACCACAACTTAAAAGAGTCAACTTTTTGGATTACGTAGAAACAAAATTATAAGCACTATATTCTTTAATTGAGCCTTGGCTGAAAATTTATTTCAAATAGACACCACAAGCCCCAGCAATTCAACAAGGAAGCAGGAAAGAATGGAAGACCACTGAACAGGCATGCACAGTGAGAAGACAAGCTGCCCAGTAACAGTCACGGCAGGAGATTGGTAAGATACAACAAATATTTACATACCAACCAAAAAAACAAAAACACCAAACTCACTGCCGTCAAGTCGATTCCAACTCACAGCGACCCTACAGGACAGAGTAGAACTGCCCCCTAGGGTTTCCAAGGAGTGGCTGGTGGACTTGAACTGCCGACCTTTTGGTTAGCAGCCGTAGCTCTTAACCACTGTGCCACCAGTGTTTCATTCACATACCAGTGACTGTAAAACTTGGGTTTAAACTATAATTAGTCTGTATTTTATCATATAAAACTAAATTTCTATCTGGGTCTGTTTGATAAAAAGACCAAAAACTTTCTTATAATGTTGAAATCCTTAATAGTTCCGAGGACTAACTTGTAACTGAGAACAAAGTAATTGTTACAGGAAACATTTGTTAAGATGTTTGTTGTAGGAAATTGTTTACTTAAAGTTGTAAAATATGTTTGTGAAAGGAAGTCGATTTTACCCACTCACCTGATGATCACACTAGCCACTTGAATTTTACTTTCATTTAGTCAGTTATAAAAAGGACTACACAGATTTTACGAACAAGAGCCAAGTAATTTGTCTCTGCTAAAATATAAAATGTAAAAGAAGTTCTTCCAATATACTAGCTTAATCATCCAATTCAGAATCTCAGTTTGATACCAGATATATCTTACCCAAGTCGTTGTTTTTTGTTATGGCATTAGCTGCCCTGGTTCGGGGTCCCTGCTGTGTAAACTGATACCCAAATTTAAGGATATTTGTATTTTCCTCAAGCATCTTGGCCATTTCCAATTCTACAGCTGTCCCCAACTGCTGCCTCTGGAATAATTAGAAATAAAGAGTACTAATAAATTAGATCAAAATACTTCTCTAGGAAAGACTAAGACATTTAGGCACATGCTGCTTAATTTTAAACATAATTTAAAAGTTCAGTATATGATCAAATAAACATCAAAAAACGTAGATTACCACAATCAGGTAACACTTCGTACCCACTAAGGTGACTCCAATAAAAAAGACAGACAATAACAAGCGCTGGCAAAGATGTGGAAAAATAGGAACCTTCATACATGCTGGTGGAATGTTAAATGGTTCAGCCACTGAAAAAGTTTGGCAGTTCCTCAAAAAGTTAAACATAGCTACCATATGACCCAGCAATTCTACTCCTACGTACATACTCAAGAGAAATGAAAATATATATTTATACAAAAGTTTGTAAATGAATGTTCATAACAGCATTATTCATAATAACCAAAAAGTAGAAACAACTTAAATGCCCATGAACTGATGAATAGATAAACAAAATGTGATCTATCCATAGAATAGAATATTTACTTGGCCATAAAAACGAATGAAGGACTGGTATATTCCACAACAAGGATGACTCTTAAAAACATGCTAAGTGAACAAAGCCAGACACAAAAGATCATATTGTATAATTTCATTTATATGAACCATCCAGAATAGGCAAATCCTTAGAGACAGAAACTACATTAGTGATTTCCAGGGGTTGGTGAGAAGGGTGAATGGGAAGTAACTGCTAATGGGTATGGGGTTTCGTTGTGGGGCGATGAAAATGTTCTGCAATTAGATAGTGCTGATGGTTGTACAGCACTATGAATATACTAAAAATCATTGAATTGTACACTTTAAAAGGACAGATTTTATGTGAATTATATCTCAATTAAAATTTTTTTAAAAAGTGGATTAAGTGGCATTCTGATTAAATTTTGAGGCACAATCCTCCCTCCTTTCCACCTTCATAGTCTACAAAATTTGCTGACTTAAAAGGACTGAGGGAATAATTTACAAAATATTTTTCCAATAACGAAGTGTTTTAGTCAAATGTGTATGTTGTTTTATTGTAATTAATAAGCACTCTAGATGTAAACATTTCTAACATGTATGTCTCTGCCACTTTAGAAGTTCATCTGGGTGTGGGTGACCCAGCATAACCATTATGGCTGTCAGGGCTGTGCTCGCTGGACAGAAGACGCCACCCTCATGCTAAGCTGGGTATTGGAGCTTGCTGTTCTTTCATTCAGCCTATTCTATTCCTCTGCTGTGTGTTTGGGACTGTGATATACAAAAAGTCTACAATGTGGGTCTTGCCATCTAAGAGCTGAAAAACTGCAGGATGGACTGAGTCACCTCTAAAAGTCCTTCTAGTTCAAAATAGCTAGTTATCTAAATTCTCTTAGAATAACTTAGAGGTAGCTGCTATGTATGCATCCTTATATACATTAAGTTAATATCTTAGATGTCCCAAATGTCCTTTCATTCCCTTTCAGCACATCACCTTCCCAAAAGGGTCCCTGAAAGCCCTCTCCCCACCCGCCTCTTAGGTCTCCAAGGTCCACACAGCAGCAGGGGGCTGTAGCTCCCTCTGAGTTACTGTTGTCCATCACTGACCTGGTTGTCAATCTTGAGCTCTGCCAGGGTTTCGTTGTCTCTTAGAGCATCGAGCAGCGCTAGAATCCCAGCTCCAGTAATAAAGTTGGACTCCACATTTAAACTCTTCAAAGTTCTGTTCACTCTCAGCATATCTGCAAAAGCCTAGAAATTGAAGAAAGTATTCTGAGATTAAAATTTCATAGCACCCATCTTGTTACATATTTACATGCCATAAACAAATTAATTTACACCAATTAACATAACTGTCTCAATGTTTCTCATTAGATTGTTTTAACTTGACACATTACCTCAAACGTGTCACATGTATCTACTTTTCACATGCACTCTGTCACAATCTTTAAATTTGTTGTCACGTGCAATTCCCTATGTAGTGTGGTGACATTGTCCACTCCTGTTTACATCCTTATGTTCATTCACACCTCCTTCATGCTTTTTCTCCCATGTCTCTTGCATATTCTCTTAGTTTCTGTGTAGGACTAACTCTATCAATGTCTCTTTGGAATTTTTCCTTATTTGGGTCCTGGCTTTAGCTAGGTCATTGCAAAGACAAAACGAAGACTAATTTCCAAGGCAGGGACCAAAAGAAATGCCTAAGGCAGGAAGATCACAGAGAACTAGAACCAAATAAGCTCAAAGGCTACAGAGAAGAAGGGGCTAACTAAATATTAAACTCCTCAAGGAATGGTATGTCTTCACTCTGCTTCCAATATATGTTTCACAGGATCTGGTACTGTGCAGACATTCAACCCAGTGCTTAATAAACAACCATATTGATTAACAGAAGCCAGCAAGTGAGAAGAGGGGGAAGAGACCTGAGAGAGAGACAGAGAGGAATATGAGTATATGTGTAAAACAGCCCCTTAGAGGGTAAAAAGCAAGGTCAAACTGTAGAAAATATCAGTAAGATCAAGCTTAAAGTTAAGATGAAGAAAAGGCAATGGGGGCAGGAATACTAGAAAGAGCTTGGGGCAGATATCTACACACTTGTACTTTCAATTAGCAGGAACTGAATATGTGATCTGGAATAAATCCCTTATCCATCCATCTACACATACATTTATTCAAATATTACTGTGTGCCTATTATTTCCTAGGTACTGTTCCGGAGACTTAGAAACACAACATACAAGTCCCTATCTGATGGAACTTACAATTAGTGGGGGGCACAAAGAATAAACAAGTAAACAAAATGCTCTATCAGATGGTAAACAGAGCTACAGAGGGAAAAAAGGCAAAGCAGGATAAACAGGAAGTGCTAGGGGCTGGGGTTGCTATCTTACAGAGGGTTATCTGGAAAGGCCCCACCAAGAAAGTGAAAACTACACAAAGACTTGAATTAAGTGATAAAGTAAAACTAGGTGGAATAACTTTAGGGAAAAAGTTCTAGGAAGAAAGAACATCAAGTATTAAGGCCTTGAGTTGGGAGCACACACATGTTTTAGGAAGAGGAGGAGGCTGCATGGCTAGAGAAGAATGAAACAGGACAGGCAACAGGAAAGAAGATCTGCTCACAGAGGGCTTCAGATGGCTGTTGGAAGAATTTTGATTTTTACTTTTAGTGAGAAGGGAAGCTGCTGGAGGGTTCTAAGTATAGGAGTCACATAATTTGTCTTAAGTTGTAAAAGAATCACTTTTGATGCTCTATAAAGAATCAGCTTTGGGGTGGGTAAGACGGAAGCAGGCAAGGAAGTTACTGCAACAATTCAGACGAGAGAGTATGGTGGCTTAGACCAGGGTGGTAGTTGTGAAAATGGCAAGAAGTGGCTGGATTCTAGAAATATTTTGAAGATTGGGCTGGATATACGTTTAAGGTTGTTTAAAGACGGAAGTCAAGGATGACTCCTTTTTTTTGGCCTTAACAAATGAAAGAATAAAGCTACCACTGAGTGAGGTAGCAAAGAGCATGAGAGAAGCAGGTATGGGGAATGAGTCAGGAGTTTGGTTTGGGACTCATATATGAGAAGTCTGTTAGATATCCAAGTAAAGCTGTTTAGTAGGTAGCTGGATATGAGTATGGAGTTCAGGAAGAGCTATGAACTGGAGGACAATAACCTTGGGAGTTGTCGGCAATGCTGACTCAGCATATATGATACAGCAATGAAACAGAATGCGAGTGTAGACAGAGAAAATAAGAGGGCCTAGGACCAAGCCATGGGTCATTCAACGTTTAGAGGTTGGAGAGATGAGGAGGAATCAGCATAAAGACTTGAGAAGGAATGTCTAGTGAGTCAGGAGGAGAACCAAGGGAAGTGATCTCCTCAAAGCCAAGTGAAGAAAAGGCTCACACCATGACCAAGTGGTACACCACAGTAACAGAATAAAGGTGATGATCATCTCAATAGATACAGGAAAAAATCCAACACTACAGATCCATAAGTGGAATCCTCTGCAGACATTAAAAGAATGGCATAGATCTTTATGTACTGATGTGAGTTCTACCGCTGAGTGAAAAATCAAGGTGCAGAACAGCACTGCATGACTCTATTCATGCTTTAAAAACTTCATAAGAAGAAAATATAGGAAAAAATGAACACAAAAGGGCAGTAAATAATGGATTGCCTAACAGTGAGCTAAACATCAACTGAAAAAAGGGAATAAATCTTGTTCGTAAAATCAGAGTTTCACCATCACTCTGGTATGTTGTTCGAATATTGATACACCAACAGTAGCTTACTTACAACAGCAACAGGGTCATTGCTCCGGGTGGCTGCAAGACTGAAATATTTCACATGGGTGTTGGTTTCCAAAGCCTTGGCAAAATCTTTTAGGGTGGGAATTGGGATATTCTTGAAAGACAATAACATGAAACATCATTACATTTTAGTTTTTAGGACATTCAGTACATACCATTAGTTGAATATATTTGCGCTTATATATTTTTTGCTTTAAAACACATACTAAAAAATTATATAAACACACAATAGTTAGTCCCCTGATGAAAACAAATAACTCAGCCACTTCCACACCTCCTTGACTTCTGTAGTGTGGTACATGTGCACAAGCTGTCTGCTGCCCAGAACAGAGCATATATCACCATTCTCTAGCACTTAGGTTAAAGAAACGCTACCTATTCTACTTTTTAAAATTAGTATTATAAGAAGCCAACCCTTGATGACTCAAAATGGATCTACATTCTACAAGGAGAGAGAAGTGGCAACCCAACCTCTCATAAGCAGACAACATACAGTTCTTGGTCACTTAGTTTAAGCTACAAGGTATTAAGAGCAATTACCTCTAAACTAATGAGGAAAGATATAGTTATAGAAGGCACTAATTTCTCCCTTTAATACCTAAGACCTTCAATTCCCTGTAGCCTGGTCATTTTTAGATCATTACTATTGATTTAGAGACAGGGATACACAGGGACTGAATTTTTTTCTACAAATTAAGATCAACTAAGGATATTATTAGCTTTCTCCAAGGTTCTCTCTCCTCAGCTCACAGGAAGGAACACCCACTAAAGGAGCACAGAAGTCTTGCTGCATGTGGCTCCTTGGTTCTTGTTACTTCCAGATGTTCCCTTCCCAATCCAAATAAATCAAGATATAAGATGAGGAATTTGTAATGAAGCTATTATGCAAGGGCCAATACCCCAAAATTTGACTTTATTCTTTAGTAAATAACACCTCTATGCCCTCCTAATTCTTTTCTTCTTTCCTTACTCCAAAGAAAAGCTGCATTGCTTAAAACCCAAAAAGACTCCAGGAAGCCCACACCTAGGTGTTTAATCAAGAGAAATGAAAACAGATGTTTGCACAAAATCCTGTATGTGAATGTTTACAGTGGCTTTATTCATAATTGACCCAAATGTAACCCAAATGTCTATTAACTAGTGAATGGATAAACAAAACACAGGCTATATCCACACAATGGGATACTATTTGGCAATAAAAAAGAACAAACTTCTGATACACTCAACAACATGGATGAATCTCAAATGCATTATGCTAATGAAAGAAGTCAGAGTAAAAAGGCTACATACTGTGTGATTTCATTTACGTGACATTCTGGAGAAGGAAAAATGATAGGGCAAGAAAACAGATCACTGGTTGCCAGGAGCCAAGGATGGGAGAAGAAAATAACTGGAAAGGGGTAGGAAAAAACTTCTGGGGGTGACGGCCATCTACATCTTGATTGTGGTGGCAGTTATAGAATCACATGAATTTATTTGTCAAAACTCATAGGTAACTGTACACTAAAAAGGGAAAATTTTTACTATATATAAATTATACCTCAAAAAACCTAAAACAAGACAAAACTCAAAAGACTCTTAGAAGTGGGCAGTACTTTGAATGCCAGAGAGATTTACTCTACTGACAGTCTGAAGGGTTTATATCTGATAAACTTTTTAAGAAGTCAGAAAATACTATACGATAATAGTTAAATTTCTAAAATATAAAGGAACCCATGCTAGCACACTGTTAGAAGCAAAACCTAATCTTGAAATAGATGGAATCAGACTACAATATTAAAACTGTCCAGTTCCCATCCTAGATCCAACTGATTCAAAGCAATATAAAACAACTTTATTGTTTGCTTAGCATACCTACCTTTATATTATTCAAATTAACCTCAACAAGACGAGCATCATTTTCCTTCATTCTCTTTAAACTCTCTTCAACATTAGTTGGATTTGGTGGTTCATCAAATACTGGGAGAATCTTTTCACCTTTTACCACATCTGTAGTAATAAATGAAAACAGCAAGAGTCTAACTGGTTGATACTATTATAGTGGATGCATATGTTAACTTGGTAACTCATATATGCTACACACACAGACATACACAAAGACACACACACATACACTTATTTATTTAGTAGAAGTGGTTTAAAAATTGCTTCCCTACAATTCCTTAAATATCCTTTATGTGTTGACACTTATTTAAAGCACCCAAATAAATACTGTGTGTAAATACCAAACACATTCCAACATTTCATTTGTTTGCAATGAGTCAGCCTTTAAAAACTTTAACAAATGAACATTTCACTCACTCCTGGTATATTACAAGACACCCTTTCCACTAAAATATATTTCATAACACAAGTAGATGATCCCACATTTTTTTAGCACAACTAATTGTAAAACGCTAATATGATAAAAACTAGCATCTCATAATTTCCTCTGAGATTTGACTGGTAATTGTATAAAAGCAATAATCATCATAGACTTGAAGAAACAGACTCAACAAGAGTGGGGTGAGAGAAGGATACAGGACCTCTTTTTCCCATGGGGAGTACCGTGCAATGGGAAAAGGGGGAATCTCAAGGAGAGGGCAGGAACAGGAAGTGGGCAGGGAGGAACAGGAAGTGGGCAGGGAGGGACAGGTAAAAGTGTGCAGGGAAAAGCTACTGAAACACAAATTCCAAACATTATTGCCCTCCTTCACTCCCACCCACCAATCCTTCACCTTATATGCCGACACACACAACCAGAATACACCTATTCAAAACGGAAAGATAGAGGGCCCAGAATCCTTGAATCCTTTAATAAGATATAATGCACTTTGATGCGTGTGTGTGTAGACCTATGATCCCCCTATAATACGCAAAATTTTATGCATGCATTTTCTGGGGAGAATATCTAATGCGTCGGATTCTTGAAGAGGTGACTGACCCCAAAAAAGTTAAGAGCAAATGACATGGAAAGACTGACAAGGTTCTAAATGGACTGTTGTCTGGCTTAGTTCTTCTCTTCTGCTCTCTTCTACCTTTTAGGAGCAAAACTCTTCTTGAGGCAAGGTGCACTGCTTACTCATCCAATAAATTCCCTCTAAAAGTACCTTGTTCTCTTCCAATATGCCTCACTGAATGGGAAACTAGAATAGTTCTTCCCCAATTCTAAATTTTATAAAATTAAAAAAGTTCATTCCCTAGTTCCACAATGTGTGTATTTACAGAACCTTGCTCCTTAATGCAATAATGGATCCAGTCAGCAGGATGCTGAAACCATTATGTGAAAGGTTCATGGGAAACTTTATAATGGGTGGATCAGGCTGCCAACACTTGGACCCACTGATTAGTTTAAACACATCGTTCAAAGCAGGATGTCCAGATTTAATATGCTTTCTAATGTGACTGAATCACAGCACCATCTACGAAGCCATCTTGCCAAATCACTGTATCTGAATATGATCAAGCCTCAAGAACAGTTTACGGAAATATAGGAGATAGAGAAACATGTAAAATGACACCATAAGGTTGCAATCAGCCAAACCCAGAATATGAGAAATTCCACATGACAAACGACCCAATGTCTTCTAGAAATAAAGGTCATGAAAAAAAAAGGGGAAAGAAGTTGGGGAGAGGGAACTGTTAAGAAATCAAGATAAGACTGAAAAGACAAACAACCAAATGCAATGTGTGACCCTTGTTTAAATCCTTATTTGAACAAATAAAATTTTTGAGCAAATAGGGGAAATCTAAACCTGGACTGGGTATTAGATGATAAGGAATTATTGCTAATTTTTAAGTTCAATAATGGCAATGTTAAAAGAAAAAACCCTTATTTGTGAGAGAGACATACAGAAATATTAAGGGTGAAATAATACAAAAACGACCATGATTTGCTTTAAAATACTCCAGGAAAAAAAAGTTTAAGAAATAGGGTTGGAGGCAGAAGACGGATGAAACAAGGTTGGCAAAGTGTTAAAAAACAGCTGAAGCTGGGTAATGAATACATTATTCTTTCTTCTTTTATGTATGTTTGAACATTCCTATAATAAACAATTAAAAAATTGGGGAAATGGTTAAATTACAGAACATTTATACAATGGAATGTTATGCAGATGTTTGAATGAGTTAGCTCTATATGTACTAACAAGGAAACATTATATATCGCTAAGTGATATACTATACAGTATGTGTTAAAATACTTACCACTATGTGACATTGAGGCTAGTTACTTAACCATTCTAAAACCTTAGCTTCCTCATATGTAAATTAAAGATAATAATAATAACTAACTCACAGAACTGTTGTGAGGATTAAATGAGAAAAATTCACATTCAAGAGCTGTTGTGCACAAAGAGAACTTCAAAGATGAAATCACCAAATCAACACCATTTACAATAGCCCCCAAGAAGATAAAATACTTAGGAATAAATCTAACCAGAGACATAAAAGACCTATACAGTGAAAACTACAAGATATTACTGCAAGAAACCAAAAGAGACCTGCATAAGTGGAAAAATATACCTTGCTCAAGGATAGGAAGACTCAATATTGTGACAAAGTCAATTCTACCCAGAGCGATCTACAGGTACTATCCAATCCCAATCCAAATTCCAACGGCATTTTTTAATGAGATGGAGAAACAAATCACCAACTTCATATGGAAAGGGAAGAGGCCCCAGATAAGTAAAGCATTACTCAGGAAGAAGAACAACGTGGGAAGCCTCACACTACCTGATTTTAGAACCTATTATACTGCCACGGTAGTCGAAACAGCCTGGTTCTGGTACAACACAGATACATAGACCAATGGAACAGAATTGAGAATCCAGATGTAAATTCATCCACCTACGAGCAGCTGATATTTGACAAAGGCCCAAAGTCCGTCAGTCTCTTTAACAAAATGGTGCTGGCATAACTGGATATCCATCTGCAAAAAACTGAAACAAGACCCATAACTTACACCATGAACAAAATCAAACTCAAAATGGATCAAAGACCTAAATATAAAATCAAAAACTATAAAGATCATGGAAAAAAAAATAGGGACAACGCTAGGAGTCCTATACATGGCATAAACACAATACGAACCATAAGTAACAATGCACAAGCACCAGAAGAGAGACTAGATAAATGGGAGCTCCTAAAAATCAAACACTTATGCTCATCCAAAGACTTCACCAAAAGAGTAAAAAGACAACCTACAGATTGGGAACAAATTTTTGGCTATGACAAATCCAATCAGTGTCTAATCTCTAAAATCTACTAGATACTGCAAAATCTCAACAACAAAAAGATAAATAACCTAATTGAAAAATGGGCAAAGGATATGAACAGGCACTTCACCAAAGAAGACATTCAGGTGGCTAACAGACACGTGAAGAAATGCTCACGATCATCAGCCATTAGAGAAATGCAAATCAAAACTACAATGAGATACCATCTCACCCCAACAAGGCTAGCATTAATCCAAAAAACACAAAATAATAAATGCTGGAGAGGTTGTGGAGAGACTGGAACACTTACACACTGTTGGTGGGAATGTAAAATGGTACAACCACTTTGGAAATCGATTTGGCGCTTCCTTAAAAAGCTAGAAATAGAAGTACCATACGATCCAGCAATCCCACTACTTGGAATATATCCTAGAGAAATAAGAGCGGTCACACGAATAGATATATGCACATCCATGTTCATTACAGCACTGTTCATGACAGTAAAAAGATGGAAACAACCTAAGTGCTCATCAACGGACGAATGGATAAACAAATTATGGTGTATTCATACAATGGAATACTATGCAACGATAAAGAACAACGATGAAGCACTGGAATATCTTATAACATGGAGGACTCTGGAAGGCATTATGCTGAGTGAATTTAGTCACAGAAGGACAAATATTGTGTAAGACCACTATTATAAGAACTCTAAGAAAAGGTTTAAACACAGAAGAAAACATTCTTTTATGGATGCGAGAGTGGGGAGGGAGGGTGAGGGTTATTCACTAACTAAATAGTAGAAAAGAGTTATCTCAGATGAAGGGAAGGACAGGGGAAGTCAACACAATTGAACTAAACCAAAGCTAAGAAGGTTCCTGAATACAACCAAACACTTTGAGGGACACAGTAGCAGAGGCAGGAGTCTGAGGACCATGCTTTCAGGGGACATCTAGGTCAACTGGCATAACAAAGCTTATTAAGAAAATGTTCTGCACCCTACTTTGGTAAGTGGCAACTGGGGTCTTAAAAGCTAGCAAGCAGCCATCTAAGATGCATCAATTGGTCCCAACCAGCTGGAGTAAAGGAAAATGAAGAACACAAAAGACACAAGGAAAGTAGTAGCTCAAGAGACAGAAAGGGCCACATAAACCAGAGACTTTCAGCCTGAAACCAGAAGAACTAGATGGTGCCCAGCTACTACCAATGACCGCCCTGACAGGGAACACAACAGAGAGTCCCTGATGGAGCAGAAGAAAGGTGGGGTGCAGAAATAAAATTCTAGTAAAAAGACCAGACTTAATGGTCTGAGACTGGAGGAACCCCGGAAAGCATGGCCCCTGGACTGTCAACCCAGAACTAAAACAATTTCTGAAGCCAACTCTTCAAAAGATTGCACTGGACTGTGGGACATAAAATGATACTTGTCAAGAGTGTGCTTCTTAGTTCAAGTAGATACATGAGACTAAACGGGCAGCTTCTTTCTGGAGGTGAGAAGAGAGGCAGAGAGGGTTAGGAGCTGGCTGAATGGACATGGGAAATCCGGGGTGGAAAGGAGGAGTGTGCTGTCACAGTATAGGGAAAGCAACTGGGTCACATAACAATGTATGTATAAATTTTTGTATGAGAAACTAACTTGAAATGTAAACTTTCACTTAAACTACAACAATAAACAAACAAAAAAGGGTTGTTGTGCACAAAACATGGCCCATAGTAAGCATTAAAAAAAAAAGTAGCCAATAACACTCTTACTGAAAAAAGTAAGCAGCAAAAAAAAAAAAAAAAAAATCATGGTAATGATCCCATTTTTGTAAAAAAACAAAAGACTATATATGTATAACTTTACATAAACCTAGTACAACATCTAAAAGGATATACACCCAACTATTAACAGTGACGGCCAGGGGTAGAAGTGAGTAGAAGCCCCAATGGTTGTGAATAGAGACACTTTTACTTTTTACCTTACGCACTTCTCTGTTACTTAAATGTGTTTCACAAGCATGTATTACTTTATAAATTAATTCTTTAAAAAGCGTAATACTTCACATCAGACTAAAAAGTTTAGAGGCTAAATAGTCTTGTGGTTTCCCCTGATTTCATTTTATAATGCAGTTTCTTCATCAGCATTGTTATGAATTTCTTGAAAATCAGTAACACTGATTGAACTGTGTCCCCCCAAAATATGTGTTGTAAATACTCACCCCCTATACTTGTGGTTATAATCCCATTTGGGAATGAGCTTTCTTTGTTATATTAATGAGACAGTATCAGTGTAAGGTGTGTCTTAAATCAATCTCTTTTGAGATACAAAAGAGATTAAACAAGCAAATGGGTGAGCAGAGATAGAAGAAGAAAGACGCCATTTCACATGAAGATTGCCCAGGAACAGAAGCTGAAAAGAGACAAGGATCTTCCTCCAGAGCTGACAGAGAGAGAAAGCTTTCCCCTAGAACTGGCACCCTGAATTTGGAGTTCTAGCCTCCTAAACTGTGAGAAGTAGATTTCTGTTTGTTCAAGTCACCCACTTGTGGTTTTTCTGTTATAGCAGCACTAGATAGCTAAGACAGATGTCTATAATACCCAAGTTAGATTAGCTTTTATAGTATTTACCATTTGTGTTATTTAGTGAAGTGAGAGTGGCTTCTATTACATTTGCTGACACATTAAGCATAAAATATTTAATATTCTATCTTTAATGGCTTCCTATGTTAATACCATCAAACTGGAATCTTAGGTTTCAAGTACATATACATAACATTTGGTATTTAAGCACTAAAGCTGATACACGGAGAAAACAAAATAGATTTAATAAAGGATAGGGACTCACCAGGCATTTTAAATACTCACTTGAAAACTGTTTTTGGTCGACACCATTACTACTTCCCACTATATTACAGAACTGTGTATTCGTTATCAAATTGTGCATCCCAAGAATAGCTATAAATATAGAAAAAGAAAATTATTTTTTATTCCCACCTGTTTTAGACATAAAGAATTAATTTTACAACCAAAAATCTTATCAATGATTTTAACATTCTTTGGATTTTTCCCTATTAATTAAACAGACTTTACAGCATAAATAGAGACAAAGCAATTAAAATCACTTACAATCTCTTATCAATACTCTTGTTATTTTTTTCCCACATTTCTGAATTCTGACACATAGCTGGAGTCAGCCTAACCTGAAACTTAAATTTATGCTTAGCTCCATCTAGTGGCTAAGAGAGAAAATTGAAATGTTATATTTTTGTTGTTCGCCCTTCTCACGAGGAACATAATGAAGATTTTCAACTTAACCTGTTAAACTTCATATCATTAATTTATATTTGCATTCCAGCTAAGAGTAGAATACTATAAGGATTGTTAAATTCTCAGATTTAAGATTAAATAGCATCCCTCAAAAATGACACTTTGGAGGGAAAGTACATTTATTTTTTGTTTTTGATGATCTTGTACACAAATAAGGCAGAAGTGACAGTATGCCCTGGCCCATTCTGCTCTGATCATAATGAATGTATTTACAGATCTATCAGTCCTCAGCCTCCCAAAGAATAAGAAACTTGCTCTGGCTGTGACACGTGCCTTGATTTGTCCCTTTCCAGGGTCCTTCTCAAAGAACGGTCAGTGCTACTTTGAAACATGTTAGTTCTTGAGGCTACTTGGCACTAAGGTCTCCCTATGCTTCACATTTTTCTACGGGAAGGTGGTGAGTGTGGCTCAGGACTGACTGGGCCATCTGCTTTCCAGTCACCCATCTGTGGACCTGCTGATAAAATGGGGCAGCAGTTGACTTCCTGAAGACTCCTTCCCAGTGCTCTGATAGGACAGCTTCTAGCTGAGCAGTAGCTTCATGAAAGATTTTTACAAAGACTTTCAAATATGACAACATGGGATGGAGTGCCAAATAATACAAGAAATTCTATTAATATAAAAATTTCACTATTGAGAAAATTTTAAGAAATTAAATCTTTTCTGTCAGATTTATAGTGTAAAACACAAAGCCAAACATGTGGCTACTGATTTAATAGCACTTTGCTAGGCAAAGGACACATCTGCACAATGCACACACGTGCACATTCACTCACAAATCAATTTGCTTTAGGAGATACCTGCAAGATCACACAATTCTGTATCAGAAGCACTCGTCAAAGCTTCTTCTAATTCTGGATCAAGAGATACTTTTTCTTCTGTTAAAGTCTGTACAGGTTTCTGTTTAGGGATAAATATTTTCCCTGAAAAATAAAGCAGTTTTTTAATTTCACTAAGACTTACTGACATTGTTAACTCATTACCATTTTACCCTTCTAATACCAATTATTAAAAGTATGTGCAACTGAGCTGAAGGAAAAATTCCAGATTCACATCTATAATAATTCTGATCCATCTTTGTTATGAATTGAATTGCGTCCCCCAAAAATATGTGTTGTAACTCCTAATCTCTGCTTGTGGTTATAATCACATTTGTGAATGGGTTGTGTCTGTTACGTTAATGATGAAGGATTAGGTTATGTAAATAAGGTTATGTTTATTATGCTAAAGAGGAAAGATTAGGGTGTATCTTGAGTCAGTCTCTTCTGAGATATGAAAGAGATTAAACAAGCAAGCAAGAGAAGCAGACACAGGGGAAGAGAGATGCCAAGCACACGAAGATTGCCCAGGAGCAGAAGCTCAAAGAGGTAAGGACCTTCCTCCAGAGCTAACAGAGAGAAAGCATTTCCCTAGAGTCGGCACCCTTAATTAGGACTTCTACCCTCCTAAACTGTGAGAAAATAAATTTCTGTTTGTTAAAGCCATCAACTTGTGGTATTTTTGTTATAGCAGCACTAGATAACTAAGACAGAATTCAGTACTGGAAGAGCGGGGTGCTGCTCTAACATATACCTAAAATGTAGAAGTGGTTTTGGAATTGGGTAATGGGTAGAGGCTGCAAGAGTTTTAAGGTACCTAATAGTAAAGACCTAGATTGCCTTGAAGAGACTGCTGGTAGAATTATTATGTTTAAGGCAACTCTGGTGAGGGCTCAGAAGGAAGTGAAGAGAGCTATATAGAATCTATCATCTTAGAGAATAAATATGGCACGAGCATCAGAATGTTGCTAAAAATGTGGATGTTAAATGTGTTTCTGGTGAGGCTTTAAAAGAAAATGATGAACATGAGATTGGACAATGGAGGAAGGGCATATGCAGTGGCAAAAAACTTGTCTGAATTATGTTCAAATGTTTGGTGGAAGGTAGAACTTGTAAGTGGTGAACTTGGATATCTGGCTGATGAGATTTCTAATCAAGATCTTAAAGAAGCCATGTGGTTTTTCCTTGCCGCTTATAGTAAAATGTGAAAGGACAGAGATGGACTTAAAAATGAACTATGCAAAATGAAAACAGAACTTAAAGATTTGGAAAATTCTGATGTACAAACTAAGGACACATGATCTAGAGCTGAAGGAAAAATTCAAGAGTAACATGTAAAATAATTTTGATCCATCTTTGTTATTAATTGAATTGCGTCCCCCAAAAATATGTGTTGTAATTCCAAACCTCTGCCTGTGGTTATAATCCCATTTGTGAATGGGTTGTGTCTGTTGTGTTAACGAGGAAGGACATGGCTCCAAGGACACGGCTACACAATCCTTTAAAGAGATAAAGCCTGTGACTGATGGATCTAACCAACTACCACAGCAGAAAACCCATCAGCTCAGACCGAAGGGCGCAGAGAACAAAAGGAAAGAACACCGTCTGCCCCTTGGAATTCTATAGGCAGAAAACAGGCTGGAGGAGCTACATCTGCGGTCCTCCAAAAAAAGAAAAGGACCATCACTGGGGCAGCTCAGAGATCAGCAGAACTGCTGGAAGGAGCGAGGGAAGCAGGAACTTCTGGGCTTCAAAGGGTGGGGGCACAGTCTCATGGATCTCAAAGGGTGGGGCCACAGCCTCTTAGGTTTCAGAGTCGGATGTTCGCCAACTCAGTTCCGGAGTGCGGGGCTGCCGTTAAGGTGTGTCAGGGGGATGGGGCTGCCGCCCAAGGCTGACGGGGTAGGGCTGCCAGGGCCGAGCAAGTGGGGTCGCCAGTCAGACGGACTAGGAGAACAGGGCCATCCAAAGCCGAGGGAGCAGAGTTGCCATCCCAGTGGGCCTGGAAAGTAGAGCTGAAGCCCAATGCTGAGGAGTCTCCACCCAGAATCCAGAGGGTGTGGCTAACACCCAGAGTCTGGAGGGCAGGGCCATTGCCTAGATGGTCTCACAGAAGAGAGGACTATTTTCAAGCCTTGAGAGCTAATGTAATTTATTCTGCTGGGTTATGGACTTGCTAGGTGCTATTATCCCTTCTTTCCCTTCAATTTCTCCCGTTTGTAATGAAAATGTCTACCATGTGCCTGTTCCACCATTGTACTTTTGAAACAGACAACTTATAGTCTAGATTTCATAGGTTCATAGATGAAGAGGAATTTTGCCCCAGGATAGAATATGCCTAAAGTCTCATCCATATTTGATTTAGATGAGTCAGAAGATGAGATTTTGGACTTGGAGTTGATTTAAGACTTTGGGGATGATGTGATGGGGTGAATGTGTTTTTTGCTTATGGCAAGGACATGAATTTGGGGGGTCAAAGAGTGGAATGTTATGTATTGAACTGTGTCCCCCCCAAAATATGTGTTGCAAATCCTAACATTTGCCTGTGGTTATAATCCCATTTATGAATGGGTTGTATTTATTATGTTAAAGAGGAAGGATTAGATTACGTCAATGAGGACTGTTGTTGTTAGGTACCGTCAAGTTGGTTCCAACTCATAGCGACCCTATGTATAACAGAACGAAACACTGCCCGGTACTGCACCCCCACCAATAGTTGCTATGTTTGAGCCCACTGTTGCAGCCACTGTGTCAATCCATCTCCTTGAAGGTCTTCCTCTTTTTGCTGACCCTCTACTTCATCAAGCATGATGTCCTTCTCCAGGGACTGGTCCCTCCTAATAACATGTCCAAAGTACATGACACAAAGTCTTGCCAACCTTACTTCTAAGGAGCATTCTGGCTGTACTTCTTCCAAGACAGATTTGTTCATTCTTAGGTTATGTTTATTATGTTAATGAGGCAGGATAAGGGTGTATTTTGAGTGAACTTCTTTTGAGAAATTAAACAAGCAAGCGAGAAAAGCAGAGACAGGGGAGAAGAGATGTCAAGCACATGTAGACTGCCCAGGAGCAGAAGCTCTGAAGGACCTTCCTCTAGAGCTGACAGAGAAAGACAGCCTTCCCCTAGAGCCGGCACCCTGAATTCAAACTTCTAGCCTCCTAAACTGGGAGAAAATAAATTTCTGTTTGTTAAAGCAACCCACGTGTGGTATTTCTCACATAACAGCACTAGATAACTAAGACAACTTTTAGTATGCATTTAAAAGTTGCCAGCACAACTATTTTGGTTAGACAAGCTGGAAAGAAAAAAAAAAAAGTCAGCTGAGAAATTTCCCCATCTGTGGAAATAAAAATAAGTTCTTTCTGGAGTAAATATGAGTTACTCTACAAATACCGAATGATGAATGAATGAAGAAACAAACAAAAACCTGTAAAACTCTAAAGAGATAAAAAACCAGAATTCAATTTCTTATTTTTAATCAACAAACTTAAGTGACTATCACTTAGTGGATAGAGAAGCAATTAGATTCCAGAAATTCAAATTCTAATTGCAAAAAGTCTATATATTCTGAAACTTTGGACCACTGCTCCTCTAAGTCTCAAGGTTATCTTTTAAGAAACTAATCACTCTAGAAACCTAGTCTTTATTATATGAAAAATCAGTATGTTCATTACCGTAAATTCAACACAAGACTGAAAATATGAAGAGAATGGAAAAAGGATAATGATAGAACTGAGCACAAGCTGACCAAATAATATGTACACATACGTAGTTGGGACTAGGCTATCAAGATTGTCTCTGATTTCTCTCCTAGACAGGTGAAAATTCTAACTCAAATCATCTAGGAAGGTCTATGTGTGGATTCAAAGAAGTGTCAATTATTTTCATTTCCATCAAGAAACCACCAAGGATGGGTTCACGGGACATCCCAGTTAACTAGTCTAATATCGTGTTTAGTGCTTCTGTTCCATCTTCTAGTTCATTGCGTAGTGCCTGGGGTCTTACAAGCTTGCAAGCTGCCATCCAAGGTACAACAACTGGTCTCCATTCATCTGGACCAACAAAGGAGGGGCAGTCAGTAAATAGGAGGAAAAAATGGAATGTGTGGCTAAGTGCCTCCATAAACAACTGTCTCCTTTGCCATGAGACAAAAAAACTGGATGATGCTTGGCTATCATTACTGAACACTTTGATCAAAGATTCCATAGAAGAATTTTAATCAAAAGGGAGAAAATGCACAACAGAATTTCAAATTCTCATGGAATCCAGACTTTCTAGAGCCATAGAGACTGGATGAATCCCTGAAACTATTGCCCTGAGATAATCTTTAAACCTTAAACCAAAAATATCCCTGGAAGTCTTCTTAAAACCAAACAGTAGGTTAGCTTAACTGGTAAAGAATGTGTCTGCCTTGTCAGAAAGGGCCACATAAACCAGAGACTTCATCAGCCTGAGACCAGAAGAACTAGATGGTGCCTGGCCACCACCAATGACCGCCCTGACTGGGAACACAACAGAGAGTCCAGGATGGAGCAGGAGAAAGGTGGGGTGCAGAACTCAAATTCTAGTAAGAAGACCAGACTTCATGGTCTGAATGAGACTGGAGGAACCCCAGAAAGCATGGCCCTTGGATTCTCCACCAGCCCAGAACTAAAACAATTTCTGAGGCCAACTCTTCAGACAGGGATTGGACTGGACTGTGGGACATAAAGTAATACTCGTGAGGAGTGTGCCTCTTAGCTCAAGTAGATACGAGACTAAATGGGCAGCTTCTGTCTGGAGCTGAGATGGGAAGGCAGAGAGGGTTAGAAGCTGGTTGAATGGACATGGGGAATCAGGGGTGGAAAGGAGGAGTGTGCTGTCACAGTATGGGAAGAGCAATTAGAGTTACATAACAATGTATGTATAAATTTTTGTATGAAAAAAAATGTGTCTGCCTTGAGCATTGTGCTCTTTTAAGAATTATCTATACGGGATCACACTGACAAAAGCAACTCAAAAAATTAGATAGAAAACTTAGGGGGCAGTGAGTTTATGTTAATATAGGGGATAAACAATTTGGAAAAGAAGGGTGAGAATAGTTGTACAATTTGAAGAATGTA